CCGCGCCGCGGAGGAGAGACGCGCGCGGCGCGCCATGGCCGCCACGCTGCCGGAGGTCGTGGAGGAGCTCCTGAGCGAGATGGCCGCCGCCGTGCGGGACGGCGCGAGAAGTACGGCCCCGCGGGCTTTTTTTAAATTCTTACTCCGCACGGTTCTGCCTCTAAAGCCTGTGCTCGCTAGGGTGTTTCCCTAAACACAGGCATTGGAGTGACAAGACCTTACTTAGATCCCGGAGTGCGGGCGGGCGGGCCGGTGCGTACACCCTAGGGGTAGGCAGGGGCCAGGGATTCGGCAGCATGGCAGAAGCGTAGACAGTTTTGAGCTACTCAAAATCTTTCCCCACAATCCGTGACGCAAGGTTTATTAAACATAATACTCTCGTATACTTCGTTTAGAAAAATATTCCAGGGTCACAAAACCGAAACACCTAGCAGTTGAAAAATACTTTTTTGCCTGTGGCCAGCAGAGGGCGCCCTATGCCTGTTTTCAACGAAATGACCAACCTGTGATATTTGCATACCAGTCGGTGTAGCAGATTCTACTAGGTAGCTCAGCTAGAAGACTGCTTGCCTAGCCTGCATTGAGCCGCCGTGGATCACCGCCACCGCTAAAGACCAGGCACAGGGCTGTAATCTCCGCACTTGGGAAATGGAGACAAGAGAATCAGAAGTTCAAAGTCAGCCTCAGCTACATAGTGCTAGGCCTGATGGGCTACTGGAGACTTGTCTCTAAAACGGGAGAGGGGAAGGCAGGGCGGGATTCTTGTAGAATGTAGACTAATCAGCACTCTTCCAAAAATGGCGCCTCTAAGTCAAATTAGAGCTCAAAACTGCTATTATCCATGCATTGTGCTCTCTGAAAGGGTTTGAGTTACTGCTTTAAAGGGGTGAGAAAAATAATGGTCTCAGATTCGGCCATCCAGGTTCTCAAACATGTTTTAGTTCCAGAAAGGTTGTGAGGGGGTCAGCCTGTTGTGAGCTCTTGCTTCCGGGATTCGACCGTAGATGTTCCGAGCTTTACAGGAACATCGCCAGTACCCGTCTGTTGGTGAGAATGGGTTAATCCATATGCCGACAACTGAGGGGGACCCCACTGACACTTGACGCCCCAGCTCAGGAACAGATTCATGATTCCTGCTTACCTCCAGTAGAGCCGGTTTCTGCTGTTTGGAAATCTTGGTTCCTCCTAACCCCCGTTCTTCATTGGTAACCTTGCAGAAGAAAAGTCCGGGGTGCATGTGCATTTGTATGAGCTTGTCAGAGCTGAGCCGTGTTAGGAAGCTATGGTTTCCTTTCCCGTGTAACTTGGTCTCCCTGAGCTTAGCTTTGTATGCTTGTTTGTTTTTTTACATATGTATGCTTACTTAAACCTCAAATTTTTGCCACTGTTACAAATCTCCACTCAAAATGTTAAGGTTAAAAGACATTTTATCAGTTCCATTTTTTCTAAAGAAGTTTGTCCAAGAGCCTGCTGATTTGCCTGCCTTGGACTGGCTGGTGTCTGACCCGGCAGGCTTCTGTGATCTTCCTTCACTGTTACGGTCCTGGGAATTCTCTCACCCAATTGGGGTCTTATGTTTAGCATGTTCTACCATTTTCTTTCCTCTTATTTATTCGCTTCTATATTGTTTCCTGTCTCATTTTATGAAGTGCATACTTAAGTAGGTTCCCCAAGGGGCAAGAACTGTGTTTTTGAGGCTTTGAATGTCTGAAAAAGGTTTTTCTACTCTCACACTTCATTGAAAGGTATTAAATGACATGTTGGAAACATTTCTTCAGACATCTGAAAGCATCATTCCATAATCATCTAGCATTTTGCATCTAGCATTGTTCCTGAATTTTGTCTGTGGCCTTTGTTTTCTCTGGGTGTTTGAATCGCAGTTGTTTGTAAGTATCCATGGAGGACCGATTGAGAGTATCACCGATGTACAAGTTCCTTTTGTAAGAGCACATATAACCCATACTCACCTTCCTCCGTACTTTAATACGCTTTAAGTCAGCTCTAGGTTGCTCGCAAAGTTGACCTCTGCAGTGTCAGTGCTGTGCAGGTGGAGGTTACCCTGCACTGCTTAGAGTGCAGGACAGAAGAAGGGCACATTTAGTGGAGGTTGGGGGGGGGGGTTGGGGGGTTGGCGGTGCTGGTTTCTATTTCATTTTGTTTGGTCTCTTTGTAGCCCAGGCTAGCCTTGAGCTCACAGTGTTCATGCCTGAGCCTTCTGCGTTTCAGTTACTGGTGTACGTCTGGCTTTTCAATTTCTTTTTCTTTTCTTTTTTTTTAATTTTGTGTGTATGGGTGTTTTGCCTGAATGTGTATGTGTATCATGTGGGTGCAGTGCCCTCAGAGGCCAGAAGATGGCATCAGATCCCTTTGGACTGGACTATGAGGGCGCTGGGACATGAACACTTCTGGTCTTAACTGTTGAGCCATCGCTCCAGACCCTCAATTTTTGCCTCATGTTAGTCAACAGATGTTGATTCCCTTGGGTGCAGAGAGCCAGTTATAACTTGTTTATGACCCAGGTTCTCAATCTTCTGATAAGACTTTGTTCAAGTTTCATTTTTTTTGTTTTTTAAAAGATTTATTTATTTATTTATTTATTTATTTATTTATTTATTTATTTATTTATTATGTATGCAGTATTCTGTCTGCACATATCCCAGCAGGCCAGAAGAGGGCGCCAGATCTCATTACAGATGTTTGTGAGCCACCATGTGGTTGCTGGAGATTGAACTCAGGACCTTTGGAAGAGCAAGCAGTGCTCTTAACCTCTGAGCCATCTCTCCAGCCCTCAACTTTCATTTTTATTTATGTGTGTCTGCATGTGTCCATGTACATGTGTGAGGGAGCCCCCAGAGGCCTTTTTTTTTTAAGATTTATTTATTGTGAATTATGTATACAGTGTTCTGCCTACGTGCCAGATCTCATTACAGATGGTTGTGAGCCACCATGTGGTTGCTGGGAGTTGAACTCAGGACCTCTGGAAGAGCAGTCAGTGCTCTTAACCTCTGAGCCATCTCTCCAGCCCTGTTGTGATAATTCTTACGTGTCATGTTTAAGAGGAGAAGACTCAAGCAAGGACTTACAGGTGATGAATGCCACTGTGGTTCTTACTGGGTTCTTAGCTAGAGCATCCATTCAATTGTTATTTCTTGTTGGCTTGATCAGATTCCCCAGTGAGTCTCCTGCCCAGAAGGTGACAGCCTGGGAGAAGAGCTCAGTGGCAGAGGGAAGAAGAGGAGGACTGATTGCTTATCTTACAAGAGCCATGTTGGGAAGAGAGCACCAAGCCCTCCTGATTTTGGTGGTTTTTTTCTCCTAGTCCAGAAATCCTCTATTAGAGCCTTTCTTGAAAATCAGCAGTCATCTTGCCAGACTGAGGGAGCAACAGCCACCCACAGCTAAAAAAGGAACTGGGGCTCAGAGGTTAATAACACTGGCTGCTCTTCCAGAGGACCTGGGTTCAATTCTCCCCACCTATATGGCAGCTCACAACTGTCTGTAACTCCACTTCCAGGAGACCCAACACCCTCCTAGAGACATACATGCAGGAAAAATACCAATGCACATAAAATAAAAATAAGTAACTCATTAATAAAACTTAAAAAAGGAACTGGGACTGATCTTCATTATTATTATTATTATTATTATTATTATTATTATTATTATTGTTTTGAGATGTGGTCTATATAGTCTTGGCTGTCTTGGAACTCAGTATGTAGACCAGGCTGGCCTTGAACTCACAGAGATCTGCCTGCCTCTATGCTGAGATTAACGGTGTGCACCACTATGCCCACTGGGACTGATCCTTCTTAGACCATTCTCAGAGTATTATTTTAGAGTTCCTGCCTGATCCCATTTCCAGAGATACCTAGTGCCATGAGTTTCTGAGGTTTCTTTTGAGGGGGCTTGTGGAGGAGGGTAGTAGGTTCTGGAATATGCATCAGACTTCTGCTTGGTTCTCCCTGTCATTAGCTTCAGATCCAGATGGCTAGGGTCTGGGAAGTGATATTCTACTCTGTATGTTTGCAGTGTGTTTTAGCTGTTGTTTCCCCTGCCTTTCTCATCCCTGGGAACTAATGATTGTTTTAATAAGTAAATAAATCCTTTTATTGTTGTTTCAGTGGGGTTTGGGAAAGGATATAAGGTTCTGTTACATCTTATGTGGTGATTTGCTTATAGTGGTTGTAATAGCTTCATGTTGGTATCCACAAATCTAACATGATTCACTTTCCTATTTTATAGTTCCTGATGAACACCTGTCATCGTAAGTACATATTCTTGTTTGATTTTAAAAAGTTACTGCATTTTAAGAGCCAAATCCTTTCAGTACATTTCTTGGTTTTAAAAAAATAAGAATACAATCATAGCTTGCTGCTATTCCAGAGGACCAGAGTTCCATTCAGAAGGTGCACAACCACCTATAACTCCAGTTCTGAGAAATCCAATATCTTCTGGCCTCTGTGGGCACTGCAAACACATGGTGCACAGACTTACATGTAGGCAAAACTCCCATACACATACATTTTCTTTAATGTTAAAATAAAATAAACAAAATAGACATGGTGGCATACAGATGGAGTTTTCCTGTCCTGGCAGCCGGCTCCCAAATAACCACGCTGAGGCTTATATTAATTACAAATGCTTGGCCAATAACTCAGGCTTGTTACTAACTAGCTACAATTTAACTCATTTATGTTAATCTGTGTATGTGCTGTCCCAAGGCTTGTGGTATTTACCTCTATCCCATTTTGTGTGTCAGACCTGTGCTCCGTCTGGTTGGCAACTCCTCTGACTCTGCCCTTCTTCCTCATTCCAGCATTCTCTCTGTCTCAGGCTGTATTGCCCAATCTCTTCCTGCCCAGCTATTGGCCAATCAGCTTTTTATTAACGATGAGAGCAGTACATATTTACAGTGCACAGAAGGACTATGCTACAGCAGTGGCACATTGTAATCCCAGCACTTGGAAGGTAGCAGGCATGAGAATCAGGAGTTCAAGGTCCTTCTCAGCTACACTGGAAGTTTGAAGTCAGTCTGACCTATGCAAGACCTTGTTTCAAAACAAAAACAAAAACAAAAAAAAACCTAAGGATTTGTAAGGATTTGGAGAGGTGATTCAGTGGTTAAGAGCCTTTGGTTCAGTTCCCCGCACACACATCAGGAGGTTCACAAAGCCTCATATCCCCCTTCTTCTCACCTCCATGGGCATCTGTACACACAGTGCACATGCATATACTCAGACACATGCATGTACATATAAAATAAAGCAAAGAAATCTTCTTAAGTAAATGAATAAATAGAAAATAGGCAAATAATAAAAGAATGCAAATAGCCAAAAACTTTTAGGGGAAATGATAAATATTACTAATAATCTTAAAATGCAAAGTAAAGATAATATTTTCTATAAAACTAGCAACCATAGGAAAAATGTTGACAAAATACGGAGAAAGTGGTAAGTAATACCCTGCAGTCAGAGATAGTAGAAGGTAACTTGGTGTCTTAGTTACTTTTCTACTGTGACAAACTGTCATGACCAAGGTAACTTATAAAAGAAAGCATTTAATTGGGGGCTTGCTTATCGTTTCAGAGGGTGAGTTCTTGACCACCAGGGTAGGGAACATGGCAGCAGGCAAGGAGACAGGCATGATGCTAGAGAAGCAGCTGAAAGCTTACATCTGATCCACAAGCACAAGGCACAGAGAAAGAGCTAATTGGGAATGGCATTGGGAAAGCTCAAAGTCTACCCCCAGTGACACACCTCCTCCAACAAGGCCACACCTCCTAATCCTTTCCTAACAGTTCCACCAACTGTGGATCAAGTAATTAAAATGTAGGAACCTATGGGGGCATTCTCAGTCTAAGCCACCACACCTGGCAACTGGCAATACAGCTTTAAACATACTATTCTTTGACATGGATATTCCACTTGTAAGAATGTTTCCCAAGTAAGTAAATGTGCTGTTCATAAAGATTTCACAAGGAGCAGATTCACCCAGTGCTGAATATGATAACAAAACAACCTGGAAATCATCTACTCAAAAATAGTTTAGGGAAGAGTAAAAATGATTCATTTTTACAGTAGAGATTTTTTATAGCCAACAAAAGTAATAAAAGAATATGGTGTTTGAGAGATGTTCACAGAAGTCATAAAGTAGACAAAGCCATTTTTAAAATAATTGAAGCTAACTATGGTTATCTCTGATTCAGAGGCTCTTTAGTGGGTTCCATTTCCTTATTTTGTTGACTAAATGTTGACTAAATAAACCTTCATGTATTTGGTATAAGAAATTCAAGTGTTCCTTCTCAGTTCTTCCTAGTAATGTTATGTGTGAGACTAGTTTATGGGAAGATGAAGCAATACACCTGCTATATTTTCAACTTGATAAGCTGTGCTGTATTGCATAGGTACATATACATGGTCATTCCACGAATAGTAACATACAAAAACCTTAAAAGGAAAGAAACAAGAAATTTGCATGTGATCTGCTGCAGGTGTAGTCCCGAGAGAGAGTATGTTCTGAGCATGTCTGAGGCCTAGGTTCAGTCTCCAGTGCCAGGGTGGAGAGGAAGGACAGAGGGGAGAGACTAAGTGGGTGCTTGCCAAAGGGCTGAAAAGGGAAGAAATGTGTGGCCGCCCTATAAACAAGTTCGGAGAGAGCTTTTTTAATCTATGATAGTATAGTTAGTCTTTTATTTTAAAACACACACGCAAAATCTGAAATAAATGGGCAAGATGTTAACACTTATTCTAGGGAACAAGTGAATCCATGGGTTTGGTGTCATTGGTTTTGTTTTTAGTTTTTTATGTGTGTGGGTGTTTGTGTGCATGTTTGTCTGTGCATCACATGCATGCAGTGCCCACGGAGGCCAGAGACAGGCATGGGATCTCTTGAAACTGAAGTTACAGATGGGTGTGAGCTGCCATGTGGGTCCTGAGACTCAAACCCAGGTCCTCTGGAAGAGCAACCAGTGCTCGTAACTGCGGAGCCATCTCTCCAACCCAAGTCCATGAGTTTTGTTAATATATTTTCCAAATTAAAATTATTTTTATTTTAAGTCTGAGGATTGGGCAGGGAGGCAGCTCAGTTGGTTTCTTCTCTTGCAAACGCAGGTGCTGAGTTCAATCCCAGCACCACTTAAAAGCCAGGTGTGATGGCATCACCGTAATCACAGCGCTAGCCTCCTGGCAAGTTGCAGACCGATTAGCAACCATCCCTAAAAGAAGTGGATGGCACTTGAGGAACAGCACACACAATGAGGGTGCAGAGACTGAGGCAGAGCTCAGTGGTGCAGTGCTTGCTTATCCATGTGTGAGGCCTTGGGGGGGGGGAGAGAGAGAGAGAGAGAGAGAGAGAGAGAGAGAGAGAGAGAGAGAGAGAGAAAGAACAGTGATCCTTTGTGTCAAGTTCCTGAGGTGACTCAGAATCAGCCCTTCTAATCCAGTGTTTTTGTATTCCCTAGGCTGAAGTTTGTGTTTGGGTCGTCGGCCATCCAGGCCTTGGACTTAGTTGATCGAGAGTCTGTCACTTTAATCTCGTCACCCAGTGGAAGACGTGTTTACCAGGTAGAAGACTAGAGGTGGGGACACAAGCAGAAACCCTTAGGACGTAAATCTATTCACAATCTCGGTGGAAGCCGATAACCAACATCAAGTATGGACATCCTGAACCATTAAAAGGCTTTGACCCAACTTAGTAAAGTTAACATAATCATAATCTAAGATTTGTAGTTATTTTAAATTGACAAAAACTGTATTTATGACATACAAAATGATGTCTTGATCTATGATACCTTATGAGATAACTTCATGTATTAACGTATCTGACTATTTCAAACTATCTTACATGCTTACTTTTTTTATGATGAGAACACTTAAAAACCCATTCTCTTAGAAATTTTCAAGTCTGCAATAACCTTGTTAGTGTAGTCAGTAAATCTCTTGAGCTTCTGTCTCCTCCTTTAACTATTTCCCCAGCACCCTCTCCTCCACCCCTAAAATGCTGAGTAACCACCATTCTGCTTTTGCTTCTATAAGCTGGACTATTTTAGATTCTATATAAAAGATAATGTAGTATTTGGTCTTTCTATACAGGCTTATTGCATTTAACATACTATCTCCAGGCATTTTAGAAAGTAAAGATAAATATGACTTGATTCTTTCTACTCAGTAGCACTGTATAGAACTAACAGTGGTGTGGGCAGGCTCTTTTCATCTAATGGAGTATACCAACCTTTGCTCTCTTGTTGATAAAGGGGGATGTGCGTGCACGCGCGCACACACACACACACACACACACACACACACACACACACACACACATAGACACACACACGCGCACGTTTATTGACATTTTCATCTTGTTCATAGTCTGTAAGGCCAAAATGTTCCTTGAGGTTATTCCATATGTACAGAATAATCTTGTCAGCATTGATCCTTCAAAAACTGTTGTAGAAGTATTTATAATGAGTCAGACTCCTGAGTTCAGGAAGTCTATATGGACCTTAGTTTGCCCCTTGGGGCTTACAATAGGTTTGTGATGTGACGGTCTCCTGCCACACTCTTACTACATTCATGCTATTGATAATTCTCAACAGAAGCAAAGCATTTCTTTTACAAGAAACTGAAATGCAGAGGGTAAAGTTAACAGTCAATCTGGCTACCTCACACTGCCGGACTCACAGCATGAGACTAGATAAACAGACTATAAAATCAGTAGGCCAGCATATCCACCTATTCCCCAGGCTAGCTCCCTGAGGCAGTAGTAAATGTGGCTGCTGTTGAGAGAGGGTCATCTGTGGTGAGCCAAGTTTGTGTTTGGCTCAGAAGGGTTAAGAAAGACACCATCAGTGGGTAGGGACATTTTTTCCTTGTTTGAATTCTGTCTTCTAGTGAACTTCTCAGAGCTGAGATCAAGTCAGCAACTCTTATTAAAAGAAAGTGCCAGTTAATTCTTAGAGAGAGAATGACTTGGACAAAGCCTGCTTTGACAAATATGTGTGTCTACTTATGGATCAGCTTGCCATTCCATTTTTTAGTTGACCTTAGTTGACCTGGCAGATCATCATGTGTTTCCTCATTAAGGAAATGGAGTGTGGGTATGTTTACAGTTGTTGGATAGCATTTTTCTACTCAAGGGGGAGTCTTCTCATGGTGGATTTATAGATGAATCATCGGTTGGGCCACTGAGTTCGTTCTTCTGTGTTATCTTTTTGTACTGTATATACTTAAACTATCCCAAACTTAGAGGACCCTTCCAGTCTTCCCATGGTTTTTCATCATAGGATTTTGGTTCCAGGGCTGGAGAGATGGCTCAGCAGTCCTCTTGCAGAGGATTCAGGTTCAGTCCTGTGGCACACAGCTCACAACTGCCTGTAACTCTAGCTGTGCGTGATCTGGTGCCCTCTTCTGGCCTCTCTGGGCACCAGGCACATGCTACACAACACATAAGCAAGTATAACACTCCTATATATAAAATAAAAAGAATTTAAATCTTTTTTTTTTTTTCTTCTTTTAAGACAGGGTTTTTCTGTGTAGCCTTGGCTATCTTGATCTTGGGACTCACTCTGTAGACCAGGCTGGCCATGAACTCAAAGATCCATCCGCCTCTGCCTATCAAGTACTGAGATTAAAGGTATATGCCACCACCCAGCCTTATAAATCTTTTTTAAGTGTCAAGTTAAAAAATCTTCTTTGGTCTCAGCTCCATTATCAGCATAGTACTTGACTAGAAGAGGTGGACTTCTAGCTGTCCCTTAATTATGTGATCTGGCTACTAGCTAAAATTTTAAAGCTCTTGTTTAAAACAATTTTAAGTTATTTTTGTCAATATGACTTTCTTAATGGTTATCAGTCATATTCTTTATCATATTATGTTGCTTTGTCATAAAAATAGACTCCCTAGATGTGTGGCTGCCAGCTTCAACTTTGACTTGAGTTGAATGAGGCTAGACCTCTGACACCCTCACATCGGCTTATGTGCACTGTACAGTCTTCATGCAGTGAGGCTAGACCTGTGACACCCTCACATCAGCTTATGTGCACTGTACAGTTGTCATGCAGTGAGGCTAGACCTCTGACACCCTCACATCAGCTTATGCGCACTGTACAGTCGTCATGCAGTGAGGCTAGACCTGTGACACCCTCACATCGGCTTATGTGCACTGTACAGTCATGCAGTGAGGCTAGACCTGTGACATCCTCACATCAGCTTATGTGCACTGTACAGTCTTCATGCAGTGAGGTTAGACCTCTGACACCCTCACATCCGCTTATGTGCACTGTACAGTTGTCATGGAGTGAGGCTCTGCCTTAACTCCTGGCTTGTATAAGATGACAGAAGTTGAAACAGATGCTGCCTTGATGCCCAGCTTGGATAGCGTTCTGTGAGTCAGCCTGTACTCCATGGTCAGCCCAGGTAGTGTCAGTGTCCTCCAGGTGTGATGTGTGGTTATTTTAAAGTCACTCTTTCGTCCCTGTCACCTGAGCTCTTTAAGACACTCTGAGCTCACTGAGGAAGGGGCTGCTTCAGTCGGGAGAGGCTCAGTGCTGGCAGTCTGGAAGACTTAGAGAACAAGGTTTAGACCTCACTGCACCTCCACAGGAGGCAGCTGCTCTTCCACTCCTGGATATCCACACCAGGACCCCAGTTCCAAAGCAGGCTCCTGAAGAACACTGGAGAGCATGGCATGCTGTGGTTTTTAACCTCTCTGCTCAGCTACTCACATTCTGTGAGCTAACACAGCTCCCACCGCCAGTCTGTATCAGGACCGGAATGATAAGCCCTTTTTCCAGAAAAAGGCAGGAAACAATAAATGCAGCTTCCCAAATGCGATAGCCTACAGGGCCTGAGGTGGTTATAAGGTCATATCTTACAAGCTACCCAAAGTCACTACAGACTTCTTCCAGTGAGATGCCTGAGAGTCCAGTCCTGGTCTTGAGTGTGTTCTTTCCTGTTTGTTTTTTTTTTTAAATCTCAATGGAGGGGGGTGAGTGAGGGCACATTCCAGCCTATGCTGAGTGGAAGAACTCGGAGCAATTCCTGTAAGACACTGAATTAAATTACTCCTAAGGTCAATTTCTAGTTCTGACATTTCTAACTCAGATTTTTGCCTGGTTCATTAGTTGTCAACTGCTAGATAAGGAAGAAGCAAATTAAAGCACTTATTGTCTTTAGAGTACCTACTGCCCCAGGGATTTGACCGGTTTACTTGGAATCTCAGACAGCCTTTGAAAGGGTAGGGCAAGGGAACCTCTGTAGAACTTAGCCCTGTCCCTAAGTCACCAGACTCAACATAATCCAGGAAGCATTGTGATAGATCCGGGCCCTGCAGAGTCCTGGAGGCTTGGCCTCTGTAAGTCTAAATCTGGAGAGAAGAAACAAGGGAGCCGAATAAAGAAAGAACGTTGAAGGTATACTCTTTGGGTAGTCTGGAGAGCCAGTGATTACCCATGTCCCTGTTGAATGCCGGTGAGTTTTCTTTAGGACCAAGGGGGAAGCAGTCAGCTTTAATGTCCATTATCTTTCTAGACTCACTAGGGAAACTGTATTGCTACTCCATGCTGTGGGTGTCATGCTTGGAACAGGAAATGTGTAAGGCGTAGTTTTTAATACCTGATTTAAACTAGGTCTAGTCTTTAATGGGTATGGTAGGCTATTCCTAGTCATCTCAAATCCCCCATGGAATTCTGCTGACTGAGTCAACAATTACCAGAAAAGCTGTATTATGTTAAGCACTAAACAGACGAACAACACTTGAACCTATTATTTCTTCTAGTTAAGGCCTTACCTGTTATTTGTTCTCAGGTTGGGGCAGAGAATCCTGGGAATGCTGACATAATAATTTTAGCAAATCCTGACTTTTTCATTTAGATTGCCATCTTAAAGCCTAAATTTAATTTGAAAGCCTTCTGGTAAACTCAGATATGACAGTCCATTGTAAAGTAATTGAAATGTTTGTACTTCCCTTTGATGGTAATAATCTTCTACTTCATTTGGAGGTTAACTCTTAGATGCAGCCCATGTTAGCTAGTGTTCATGACTATAATGAGTATCTGGCATAAACCAATGTAAAGGAGAATAGGTTTCTATTGGTGTGGGAGCCCACAGAGGTTTCCTAGTGAGAGCTGAGCTTGCTTTACCAGCAGGGCTGCAGAAGAGGATGACTGGGCCATGGGCCTGGGTACCAGGTGTTTGGAAGGGTCTACACTTGGCTGTATCTAGCAAGGGGGAGGTCTTTTGCTTCGCCCCTTGGCATTGTTATAAAAAGTCCTTTTAAATGAAGTTCTGGGCCAATGGATAAGGATCCAGGCCCTCCCCAGGCTATCCTGTGTATCTATTTCTCTCCCCTCTATCCTTCTATCTAAATCTCTTATCCCTCACTCCTCAAGAGTACCCAGGTAAAGGTGGAAGCCGGTCCCCCACATATTGGCTAGCAGTTTCAGAGGGTTCCATCCATAGTCACTGGGCCCTGTTGTACTGGCCTATGCCGGCACAGTATGCTAATTAGAACACCCTGTATCAGGAACAGGAGTCTGAGAAGGCCTCTCCACCCAGCAGCCAGAAAGCAAAGACAGGAAGGTTAGAATCCCAGTACCTCCTGTAACAGCATGCCCACAGCAACCTAACTCTCTTTAACTATATCCTATCTCCTAAAGGTTCTACCATTTCCCAAATGAACCAGGAGATAGCAACCAAGCTTTTAACACATGTGCCTTTGGGGGACATTCAGAATCCAAACTATAGCAAACATTCCTAATAGGAAATATTTGACCACCTGTGGTAGAGTGGTTTCTCCAACAAACTGGTCTAATCACACCACAGGCAAATCTTATTTTCCTTTTACATTTCCTCTGTGTTCCTTTCGACTGTCACCAAGGATGTTTGTTGTACTGGGCCTCTCACCAACACCCACATGTCTGTGTCCTCCTTCCATCCCGCTGGATGAGTAGGCAGATCTGAACTTGCCTGGGACCTCCATCCTGAGCAGCTGAGTCATCCCTTTCACAAGACTCCACTTTATTTATTCTCCCCACTCAGATGCTTCTCTCACAACCCTCTCTAGGTCCTTCATCTGAGAGCTGCCCTGCTCCTGCCTCCCTGAGCACACGTTCCCATTTTCACTCTCTGGGAACCTAACAGTAGCTTTAGAAATAAATGTCTGTGCGTTCTGTCTAATGCCACGGGTTAAAGGTCCACAGTAAAATGCACATGGGCTTTTCTCTTCACTTCTTTTTAACCCCTACAGGCGGAGACCTGTGCATCACATGGGAATAAGAGGCTGTGTGGAGGGGTGAATTAGACTGAAGCTCCTCCACTGTCTGAAGTCCTAGAAAGCTGGAGATAAGAGTTTGCACACTGCAGAAAGAAAACTTGCATTCCCCTTTTGTACAAACTCTAGGGCAGGTCTCCACAATGGCATTCAGCAGCAGCTCTCACACACTGGACGGATTGTCAGGACGTTGTAGCAGGAGCAAACCTTCCAACACTCTCCGTCCGTCCTTTTCTTCCCAGGTGCTTGGGAGTTCTGGCAAAACCTACACATGCCTGGCTTCGTGCCACTACTGCTCATGCCCAGCGTTTGCCTTCTCGGTGTTAAGGAAGGGCGACAGTCTGCTGGTAAGAATGGGCTCCTGCACACAAGGTGGGAGAGAAGAGGCTAGCCTCGTTTCATACCTTAAGTGCCACATACATTTGGGGGTCGGGGGGTTTACACAGAATGGGTATTTCCCTCAGTGTTGGAGAGTTGTGGTTTACTGTCCTTGTCTTAGTCACCTCTTGGATTTAGCCTCCTGAAATGCAATGTCATTTTGGTACGTCACCAGTTTCCTGGTTTTTTATTTAAAAGGTTGTAGAGGAGGTTGTGGGGACAATAAGGTCATCTTGGAAGTGAGCACTGGGGATGAGATGGTCCAGGAGAGGGAGAAGTAAATTAGAGATGCTCACACACCATCCACTGGTTGCCAAGATGGCTTGCCTCACATTCATCCTCACGTGGAGCAGGAACACCTCCATCTACACCTCTGTGACTCTGTGAGTCCATCAGAGTTCAGAGCATTAAGTAAGGACAGCACATGTCTACACATTGTTTATTCCAAAGGGAAAGAAATGCACTACCCTCCTCTCCTAAGAGAAGGTGGTTAGTCCTTAGTCTTGCCAAAGTAGAGAACAATAGAGTCCACCTCATTCCTTCCCTTTTTTATTTTTTCAAGATTTTTTGTAATGATTAATTTATTTTTTTGTTTGCATTGGTGTTTTGCCTGCATGTATGTCTTTGTCAGGGTATCAGATTTTGGAGTTATAGACAGTTGTGAGCTGCCATGTGGGTGCTGGAATTTGAACTTTGGTCCTCTGGAAGAGCAGTCAGTACTCTTAGCCACTGAGACATCTCTCAAGCCCCCCTTCTTTTTTTTTTTTTTTTAATGCTAGTAACAGTTTAAACATCTTGAGAGTTTGGTGCCAAATTGAGCATCTCTATTCATACATCCCACTAGCCACTAGTGTGGTTTATTTCACCTGTAAAATGACACGCTTAAACCCTGGTCCTCTCAGGATCCAATGCTGTGTTCTGTGTCGTAGGTCTAACGGGGTTATCTCCCCACATCTGTGTACATGTGAGAACTTTCCCTGTGCTCTTTCCCGGCCCAGAAGACAGCAGTGGTTGGAGTGGAGCAGAGGCCCTGAGTGCTCCTTGTAATGAAGTGTGAGCCTGCACTTGTGAGGGACACTGCAGTACAGTGCCGTAGGGACTGTCAACCATTGCTGTGACCACACTCTGAAGGCGGGGAGGAAACCAGCTGAAAGCATGGCAAGGTTTCACTCTCCTCCTTGCATGGGAGAGTGAGAGGTCTTGATTAGGCTGGCCAAACATGATCCTGCTTGTTCCTAACAGGTCTGTGTTTTGTATTCCAGTGCAAGCATCTCCTGGCAGTTTATCTTAGTCGGGTTATGAGAAACTGCCAGCAGCTCAGTGTGTCAGACAAGCAACTGACAGACCTGTTATTGATGGAGAAGACACAAGAAGCATAAAAGATGCAGATGGAACATCGTCTTTCAAGACAGAAGCCTATCAGGAAATTCGCTCAACATCTCATGGCTCACAAGGCGGAGGAATAAGATACACTTCGGACTGGTTACTGTCACTTCGCCCTCACTGTAGGCTGCAGAGGGCTCATGAGTGGTTCAGAGCCCTCCCTTTATGATCTTAACACGAACCAGCCTCTGAGCGCCACAGGTAAAATGTCCCTGGGTACAATTCGATATTGTTGATGCAAATAAAGCCGGATACCATGTGGTGTCTGCAACTACTAGATCAGGTTACTAAAGTGTTAGTGACTTTGTAAAGATGGGATGGTAGACCAAACTAAGTTAGAGCCCGCTTATGAGAAAATTATTCCTCAGTAAAGGACTAGAGCAGACATGTAGCTAAGTAGCAGCAGGTCTGAGAAGATGAGGGGTCTTCTGCTAAGCTCTTCTGTGCTGGTGTCAGGGCAGCTGGGGGCTGGACTGGGAGCAACGATGTGGAGAACAGGGGGGCTGGGTTTGCTCTGTGAGTATTTCTAGGCTTCTACAGCAGGATAAGGAACATAACTAAAGCCTGGAAGGAAACTAGATCCTACTAGGAATTTCACATAAGAAAGAAAAACAGATTAGCTACCAGGAACGGTGTTGGAGAGAAGAGACAAGATAGACCTAGAGAGAAGAAAGGACCACTGAGAAGATAACTCTGAAGATGAAACAGATTGTAGACCAGGAAAAGGACTTAAGAGGTAAAGCCATGGGCTCAGGGGTTAGGAGCACTGGCTGCTCTTCCAAAGGACCTGGGTTCAATTCCCAGCACCCACATGGAAGTTCACAACTGTCTGTAACTCCCATTCCAGGAGGTCTGACACCTTCACACCAATGCACATAAAACAAAGTTAAATAAATTATTAAAAAAGGAAAAAAAAAAAAAGAGGTAAAGCCACGACAGCCAAGATGCCAGAGGGTCGGGAATTCCCTGTCTCTCTAAATTCTCACCTTTTAGGACCTGAAGAAGTAGACAGATGGAATAGGTGACTTCACAGCCTAGAGACACCACTCCCTCACACACACCCCCCATGCACTGCTGTACCCCAAACACCAGCTGTTAGTGAACAGCTGCTGATAAAAAGCCAGAGACATGTTGCAGTGTTCTCTGGTTGGCTGAGCATTATGTTGAGTTATAGCAAAGAAAAATCAAGATTTCTTTGCTACTTGAGAGACGGCTCCATATGAGCCTCTTTTTTTTTTTTTTTTTTTTCGTTTTTCAAGACAGGGTTTCTCTGGCTCGAGCAGGCTCCAACTAGTCTCTTT